GAAAAATTCATAAATAAGGTGTTTATTTTACACCAATTCAAAAATCATGTTTATAGTTTGAAAATTCAAAAATTAGGTTTTTTTTTTTTTAATTTTAATTCTAATATAATATAATATAATAAACTCACTCCACATGCACCATCTTTACCGCTTCGGGGACTATTTCGGCGATCATTTCGACGACCACTCTTCTCCGGCGACTACTCCGATTCCGACGATCATTCCGGCGACTGTTCCGACAATCATTCTGGTTACATATTTACGTTTTACGGTCACGGTTCAAAAATTTTATAGGTCACATTTAATTCGTTGGCCACTGATTTCAAAATTAGTTGGTCACATATCAAAATTTACAGGTTACACAGTCACAGATTTCCAAATTAATTGGTCACAGATTTTTATGGACAGATTGTATAATTTTTAGGTCACATATAAAAAAATGGTTAATTTCATTGGTCACATATTTTCAAATTTGTTGGTCACAGATTATTTTTCAGTCACATATTGTCGAATTTTTAGGTCACAGTTAAATACTTGGTCACATACCACCAAATAGTAGGTCACGTACCATCGTAATCAATACTACCGCTGCCGCCACCAATACAGCCACATGCGACCATCCTCACCCGCCACATCTACCGTACCATCGTCAACCCACCACTCCTATCCCAACCTGCCCCACCCGCACCACCTACACCACTAGAACAACCACCCCCACCAAAAAAATCTCAACCATCTCCACCATACGACAACCCCCCACCAAAAAATCTGAAACCCGTCGCCGCCACTACCACCTCATGTTGTAGTTGCCATTTCTCCACCATCACCGTCCACCAACCACCACCCATAGAAAACTACCCACACATAGATCAGAAAATAGCCACCTGCACCACAACACACAGATCAGTCCCGACAAAACACCACCATAACCAGTTAACAACAGTCAAAAACTACAGCCACCTGCAACTTCAATCAACAACCAACAGCCAACACTCTACAAACAGCTACCACCTCACAGCGTCGCCTCCTCCACCATTGTCGTCAGCCACCATTACAACTACCATTTCCAAATAACAAGTAAGATCCAAACCAGATCCCGCCACTGCTACCACCAGATCTGCCACGACCACCATCACCGCGACCACACCTCATCGCAACCACCAGATTCACCACCTAACATAGCCAACACACTTCCACCACCACAGCACTCCGCACCTCCACCACCGAACCGTCAATCACCACCACTCAAAAATAAAAATAAAAAGAAAGAAGGATGGAGATGGGAGGCGTCGCGCGGCAGCGTAGTGATACTGTCGTTCACAGTAGCGTCGCGATGCTGCCGTGCTTTGTGAACGGCAACGTTGAGGGAGGGGGATGGGCAGCGTCGGGGATGGGGGATGGGGAGAAAGGGGGAGACGAGAGGGGGAGAGGATCACAGAGAGAGAGACGAGGGAGAGAGGGGGATGGGGAGAAGGAAGGAAACGAGAGGGGGATAGGGAGAAGGAATGGAGGAGAAATAGCGTTAATAAATTACCTGAGTTTTGAATAAATAAACATTGGACCTAATTTTTAAAAAAATTATATTTAAACCCCTGATTTTTTATAATTACCCTAAAATGAAATTGAAATATACTCCTGTCTAAAATGTTATTAGTATTTGGTACCGTACATGTTATCACGTTATGCCTTTGTTTGAGCTCCATTATTTGAAAAAAAAAATTGATTTCGAAATAATATCTTTTTAAGAACCTATGATTGAAGTGAGAACAATTTTTGAATTTATTTGTAATATTATTTTATTGAAAGAATGTGTAATTGATAATAAGAAAGAGAAAAGTGAATTAAAATTTAGTGGGGGCCAAACGGAGGCTATATAATTTATTGAACATTACTATATATCTAATATTGTGAAAATTACATCAACACACGATTTTTAACATTTTAATTCAAAAATCAAGTTTAATTTTTTTTTTTCAAAAACCAGGCTATAATTCAACTTTTAAATATTAATAATAATAATATAAAATTAAATTCTTCTACATACCCACCCCATCCACTCCACCCAATTGCATGCCCAAACCATATCTCTCTCTCTCTCTCTCTCTCTCTCTCAATCAGTAGCCAAGTTAACAATTCGACGCACAATTCGGTCATTACCATCAACTTTGGCCACCATCACTAGAACCAACCACCGCAGTGAGAGACCACCAACTATCGTCAACAGACCACTGCAATTGTGCTTATAGCTACGAGCACCATTGCCCAACAACGATGGTTTTGAGGCGATTTCTTCCTCCTCCGATCTAATTCGATCTGTTGTTTAGTCAAAGTTTTGAAATAGTTTTTGTTAATGGTTGTTGGTGTTTCGCAAATGATGATGATGCAAGTAATGATGGTACTGGCGGTGATGGCGATGGCGATGTCGATGACAATGGTAGTGTAGGTGGTGGTGTTGCGACGATTGTAGGTGGCACAAAGTTCAGTTGGTGTCGTGGTGGATTAGGATTGAAGTGGGATGAAGAGTGTTTGTGACCAATTATTTAGGTAATTATGACTACTAAATTGGATAATTTGTGACCAATAGATAATACGTGACATAAAAAAATGTGATATTGCGATTAAATTTGTAATCGTAACTCACAATTTTTTCAATTGTAACCAAATAATTTGATAATTGTGATCATAAAATAAGTTGTGACCTATAAATTTTATTATTTATAATTGAAAAATAACACGTGACATATTAATCTGATAATTTGTGATTGATAAATATATTGTGACCTATAAAATTTGTGATTGAGAAATAATGTGCGACCAATTAATTTTTATAATTGTAATCGATAAATAAGTTGTGACCTATAAAATTCTGATATGTGACTATGACGTTAGTTAAGTATATTTTCTACACTTATTCGAGACCTTAAATAATTACATTTTGTAGCTTTTTATGGACAATAGGTAGAACATTGCATATTTAACATACCTGTGAAAAAATCCCGTGAATTAATGCATATTTTTCATATAAATTCAAACTATAAATTTGATCGGATGAGGTTAAACATATGTTTAATATATGGGTAATTCCCCTTGTACTGAAAGGGGGTACCAAATGGTGTCCCCCCCTCACATGGGGCGCGGGCCCTATGTGTTTTTAAAAATGGCGGCTCGTGGTCCCACCTCCTAATGTGAGTGGGGTGTGAAGGATTATGTATAAAATTATGTACATGTAGACTAACCCTTAATATATATTGAAAAAGAATATTGAATAAAATTGGATTTTCAATTTTTCATTAACACTAGAAAAATACTACTTTATGTGGGTCGAGAATTGGAAATAGCATTAATTGGGGGATTCATAAATCCGATGCATTCATCTCATATCCATAAAACACTTTTAATGGTTTTCTTAGTTAGAGTTAGTATAGAAAATCAAAATTAACTCTTCGGGGTTACGACATATCAAATTTGGTAATAAGTAGTACATTGTTATTAAGTATTATTCTTCGTCGGACGATAACTCAACTCAGTTATTCTATTACTTGTCAACGAATCCGTATGCTTGCGGGTTGCAATCAAACAATGTTCTATGATTGTATTTAGTACGTAACTGTGATCATAAATTGTATAATATTGTGACTTTAATATATTTAATTAATAATATATTTTTAATAATTTCTTTAATTATTAAAATTTAATTATGACCTAATTTTTGAAATTTTAAAATAAATTTCTTAATTTTGAAATTGTATTTTACAACTACCATAGATTTGTATGGTTCCCTTTAATATTTTTTTATTTTTATATTCAGAATGATTTCCTTATGAGGTCATAATTTAAAATATTTTTTTATATGTATTAACAAATCATTTCTACCAACTTATAATTTGTTTTTATATGTTTATTTGTTCCTCGAAAACAAAATTGGAAAGGTCTAGATTTCTTCAAAATAACCTAGCAATTTTTTTCTCCGACCATTATGTTTTAATATTCGATAAGGAAAATTTGTGTTCGTGTCACAAAGCAAAATCTTCATTTGTCAATTTATCAAATGAAAAGATCTCAATTCTCAAACTAAAATTTCAAATATGTACACCTATTTCAATATGCCACCTCCTTACGTAAAAAAATCGTCGATAATCCAAATAGCAAGAGAATCTTTAAACATCATTGATTTAGGTCTATCATGTAAAATAATTCACGTTCAACGTGACACTAAAATCATTGAATTATTTTTACTTTTTAAGGTACTTTTCCTTCGACCCGAAGTTTCTGGTAATATAGAACTTCTAGATGACAAGGAAAAAATGTTCCAAGTCAAATAGCCCATCAACACACTCCAACGTTGAATAATATTTGAAATGTCATTCGAATATTTCAACTACGAATTCCAAGAACCTTTCCCGCATACCGTCCCCACCACCACCTCCGCCGCCGCCGCCTTCCTCCCTTATAGCTTTTTGTAAATTCATATCTCAGCTCCAAGCTTACAAACTTGTACAAATCCATTAATCTTTCTCTGAAATTAAATGTCAGTTTCTTGCGGAGTAGAGTGGGCAGTTATTTTAGGCTGCCTGCGTTGGGGGTGGAAGCGTTGCACCTACGTCGGCTCTGACGACAGTGCCAACTGGCCTATCGCCACGCGTGAGGAATTCGAGCCTATCCCACGAATTTGTCGCATTATTCTATCGGTCTATGAACCGGACCTCCATCACCCTTTATACTCCCCGCTCGGTGGCTACCGGCTCAACCTGGACTGGGCCATCAAGCGCGTTGACTACGAGCAAACACTAGGCCACGCGCCGCCTTACTTAATCTACACCGATCATGAAAACAAAGAAATTGTACTAGCCATTAGGGGATTGAATTTAGTTCAAGATAGTGATTACAAATTGTTGCTGGATAATCGATTGGGGATGCAGATGTTTGATGGGGGATATGTTCATCATGGATTGTTGAAATCTTCTATATGGATTTTGAATAACGAGTCGGAATTTTTGAGGAGAATTTGGGAAGAGAATGGGAGAGAATATAAGATGGTTTTTGCAGGACATTCTTTGGGTGCAGGGGTTGCATCATTGCTGAGTTTGATTGTGGTGAACCATACAGATATGTTCGGGGGGATTTCTCGGAATTTGGTAAGGTGCTACGCAGTGGCGCCTGCACGGTGTATGTCACTCAACTTGGCTGTTAAGTATGCTGATGTTATATACTCTGTCGTGCTGCAGGTGAGGTTTCCGGTTTTTCTTCCTCTAATGTGGTTGTCTGATAGTGCGTCGAAGGTGTCAAAATGTGCCAATCGCACATCATCTTAAACTTGATTTTGTCTTGTCCAGGATGATTTCTTGCCGAGAACACCCACCCCATTGGAAGATATATTTGAATCCATCTTTTGGTTAGTTGTCATTCCTCTTTGCTAGACGAAACTACTTTGTTTTATATCAATGAGTGAATCTTTATCATCGTTGTTTAAACCAGGCGTTAATGCTTTGGACAGTTTGCCTTGCCTATTATTTCTTGCCTGCTTGAGGGATACCTTCATATCGGAAGATAGAATGATCAGAGATCCAAGAAGACTGTATGCACCAGGTCGAATCTATCACATTGTGGAAAGAAAATGTTGCAGGTAAAATCGAGTTCGCTTTCAATGTTTCCTTCAGAATCTATCATGTTTTTTTCTGTTTGATCATCAGTTTTTATCTACTATAGTGTTGGCATGGTGCATGGTAATATTGAAATTCTCTGTTTGGTACTCAGATGTGGGAGGTATCCTCCAGAGGTCAGAACCGGTATCCCTGTAGATGGAAGATTTGAACACGTAGTCTTATCGTGTAACGCTACATCAGATCATGCAATTATTTGGATAGAACGAGAGGCAGAAATGGCCTTAGAAGTAAGTAGAAGCCATATTATACCTTCAAATTCTATTAAGAGAATACCTTTGAATGTATGTAATTATTTTCATGTAGAGACTAAAAGAGCAGCGTATGGAGACCGTAACGAACCCACCAAAGGTCCAGAAACTTACAAGGATGCAAACACTCGAAAGAGAACACAGAGATGCATTGGACAGAGCCATCAGTTTGAACATACCTCATGCTTCAACCACCTTTGAAGAAGAATCATCATCATCCTCGGAATCTTCAACTTCGGAACATTCTCAGGATGACCCAAAAAATTCCTCGGTGGCTAAAAGAATGCATTATAAAAATGCTCAAATTTGTTGGAATGAATTAGTTGAGAAGCTTTTCAAAAGGAACGAGTCGAGAAAATTGCTATTGCAAACAGATGCACCTGTTACTGAGTAGACCATCTTTCTGGTCTTTCTTTCCAAGGATTTGGTTTAAAGAATTATCATCTTCCTTCTTCTTGGTTCTCTCTTTGTTTGTTTATGTACATAAAAGATTAGTGCATCTTTAGTTGTGCATAGAGTTGCTAGGCTAGGGTGTATGATATATTGTTTGTTCAACTGTAAGACGCGATAATGTAATAAGAGATTACTTTTTCATCGTAACATATAACTCGTTCATCATTTGCAGGTTAGCGTTGCATTGAGAGAGTATTCGGAAAGGGGAGGCTGCCTCCTTTCATAATGAAAGGAGGAGTCGTAAAGCAATCGTTGGGATGGAAAGAGAGATGACTAAATTACATAGAAAAGTTCAAGATCAGAGAACTTCCTACAGAATTTTCTAGGTCGTGGCATTCACCGTCCAAAATCCAAAATCGAAATAAAATTCACTTTTCATGTCTTTCCAGATTAGATCCTAAGATCCCTTGGATTTTGCTAGAAATTCTGTCTTGCGTTCTCTTGTGCAAAGATCTATCAATGCATGATTTAACCGTCAAAATTCCAAGAGTTTAGACACAACTGGTCTCCTGCAACTGTACGACTCAAAGTAACAACTAGAAAGTGGAACGTGTTCTCCAAGATCCTGCATTCACCAAGCGTTAGTAGGTAGGTGTGCGTGCATACATACAATTACGCACATATAATATAAACTGAACGTACAAAATAATAAAAGTGCATTTGGGGATCTGCAGAGGAATAGGAAAAATAGAAACACCCAGGAAACACAGCATCTAACTTCAGTTTTCTTCGTTTACATCACAAGAAAGTAGAAAGTAGAGCGACACAAAAGCACGTCACTCAAAGCGTCCAATAAACATAAACCACTACAAGATTGCCATCTCAAACTTTGTACAGATATAGTTCCAACTGCTTCGACTAGAGATGTCGATTCATGTTTGCATTGATTCAGCGTGATAGTTCTCAAGCTCCTTATCAAGTTCACCGGACGATTTTTCAACAGTTTTCTTTCTCCAGTGAGCACTGCCTCTGCCACGTCCCCGTCCCCGTCCCCCTCCTCGTCCACCTCCACGTCCATTCCTAAAACCACCACGGCTATTTTGGCTGCACAAAAAGAGAGAGCAACGCATATTAACAATACTTGATTAACAGTATAGGTTAGGCAGCCAATAAATGGGTAAAAAAGCACTATTAGTCATTGAAAGGAGTTTCATGTCAGTCAACGGACTATATTTTGTTCCAAACTCCGAAGTGATCACAGGAGTTCGCTTCTTGAGTCATTTTGGTCACTCAGCTAAAAACCATGTCAGATGCCAAGTCGGATAGTCTATTAGAAAAACCAACATATTTACCTGAATAACCAAACTAAAACAAAACGTCTACTTGAATGACTACTTTAAAACAAAATGAAGTTTCTTCGCTGTACGTTGAGTAGGGTTTTTAACTCAGCCATCAGTTGCAAACACGCGACCGTTCTGAAGGAAGAAATTACCAGCCAGCCCCATGAATAAAACCCCTCAACCCAAAAACGAAACCTTCATGCTATTAGAACCCAAAGTTCCAACTTTTGAGACAGCTACTGCAAACCTTGCAACCAGAGCATGCTGGTTAAGGCAGCTATAGTTCCATACAACTTGGACTCTTTTAAGTCAGTATTATTCAGTTTCATGGGTAGAGCAACAAGCAAAGAGCTACAGAATTTCGTTCTTATCCCCAAGCTATCATTCAAATTGCAAGTTGGTTCCCAACCTATAAAAAGGAGTAAGTCCCCAATCTTCCAATAGAAAGTGCACCAGTCTCGAGGATAGAAATTTTCCAAATATCTACTAGAACACACTGACATGACAACTTTATGAACATGGACACAGTTTAGAGTATTGACTTCATGATTTTGCCCATCATAACATTGATCAAGGAGGGACCAAATGGTAATTAACAGAGTTTTGGTTGTTGGGGATCATTGCCAAACTACATTGAAAGATGGGGACCAACTTACTCCTTTAGGTTAGGGACCATGTCCCTTCCATGAAAGTAATCTTTCGGACTCGATCATGTTTCAAGGGAGACCAAGCTTCTGATTAATGATTATATTATGGTAGTTTTGTCCCTCTCCATAAAGCAGCATTGCTGAAGAGAGGACGACCTCATATAGAATATACACTAGTAAATTTGCATATCTCAAAAGCATTAGCATTTCAACATATGTTAAAAAGACTAATCATGTTCCATGCTTAAGAAGTGACCAAATGTAATTCTATGACAGTTCAGAAACCACCTCAAAAGTGTAGATGTTAATGGACAGCTTACCCAGGATTACGATTAGCAGAACTAAAGCCACCTCTGGAACGACTTGGTCCAGGCCTGCAAATTTGCTAGCTCCCCGTTAATTGAGCAAATATAAGACAGCTTATGATGGAACTGGTGTTACTATTCAAATCAAAATATAATCGAAAGATCTTCTAAATAATACTAGGATCAATTCCATCCAGAAATAAATAATTATTGTGCACAACACTCCTTAACTAAGCAAGACAGCATATTCCAGAACAATCAGCTGTTGCTACAAGAATGTTAACAAACACAAATAAAATTTAAACTATAACCACAGAAATTCCTATCTCAAACAGATTGTTGTACAAAATAAAAATCTCAAATCAACTACCCAGCAAAAACGTGTCAAAAAACAGAAGCATTACAAAAATTCCAATCTCAGCAAGATTATTATACAAACAAAATCTCAAATCAACTGATCAGCTAAACAATGTCGGAAGCATTATGACACCACAGCAGCAAAAACTGTCAGTGTGCGGACAGGCATTTCACCCTCACAATCTGATCTCAGTTAACGGACATGGTGTGACACAAAAGAATACAATCAAGTAAAAATGGAGTAACAAAATGACTATATAAATACACGTACTACCAATACAGAATAATTACAGACATCTGATACAGTATGCAATTTTTTAGTACTTAAAAAATTACAATTGCTTGTCATTTCATAACCACAGAACTAATCAGGAATACAATTTGTATTCAAAAATAATTTGGGTACCTTTTGTTAGGATTTCATTGCACAATTTATTATCATTATATGGGGTTTAAAGAGAGAAGCAGTTCTTCCAGGGAGCATCCATCGGTCAATCAAAGGGAGCCACTCAGATGACTAAGAAAAACTCATCCACTCAAGTTCAGTGACATTATAATGCTGGTTTCCTCAGGCGTATAACGCCTCTTGCAAAATACAGAAGTTGGCCAACTAGAGTTGTTGACCCAATTCGAAAAGAATGTATGATTGAAAACTGCATGTAAAACCCTCCATCTATGTTTAGGTTGAGGCCAAAAGATCTCATCAATGCACAGATGGACTGGATAAAATATCAATTCATCGTACCAAATGCATAATGATTTAGTAAGTGTGAGACAAATGATAAAAAGTTTTAAAATGTGAGCTAGTGACCTAAAGTACGTTAATAATGTGACCTATGTTGACAAGTCTAGTTTAGATATTCAAGACTTGCAGTAAACAGCGCATCAAGAGAAAAAATGAGCAAAAAGAAGAAACCTAGGAAGTACTAACATAAATTAATTGTACGGTAATATAGTCACATACATCATAACAACTGTTCTCTTTTTTCCATTCGCTCCTCCAACAACATTCACGCGAGCTGAGACAGGTATCTCCGCATTAGTACCAATTATTTCGATCTTCATAGGCTTCCCATCCAGTTGGACATTATTGTATCTCTTAAGAGCTTGGAATGCGTCACTTCTCCTAGCAAAAACCACTTCAGCCAAACCCTGCTTAACACTAGATTTATTAACTCCAGCAGAAATCTATTAAGTACAATAATAATCTAATACAAGCAACAAGGAGCATAAAATGTTGAACAATAGATTTGTTATGGAACAATGTAACAAACTCATTAAGAATATTGTCAAGCAAGATAAAATTCAAAATTAGATGCAGGAGACAAGATACACAAGATTAAGACAGCAGGTGAAGTAAATTCTGAATTGGGAAAAAAAAAGCTAATAGGCAATGCAGCACATTAAAAACCTGAAACACCCTCATCGAAGTCATTGCAATTGCACAACTGAGGGAAATGTTTTCTTGTGAAACAAATACAGTGCCAGTCAAGAGGCTCTAAAAGATAACACAGTTACAAGCATTAACAAGATCCATAACCATGAATTCAAAATTCAAGGGAGACCTGCTTGAGAAATGGCCCTCTAAATTAGTCATAACATCCACGGTTTAATCAAATTGACAAAAGCAGTTCCAGTACAATACAATGTAACAAATAACTTTTGTCAAATTTCAGAGTAAGAGTGTGTTTGGAACACATTCTTTTGAAAGAATGTATTATTGAATAGTAAATTGATGGAGAATGTGTGGTTAAAAATGATGAAAAAATTATTGATGTGATGGAAAATATTATTTTATTGAAGAATGTGTGGTTGAAAATGAGTAGAAGAATGAGAATGAAAAAAATAATGTGTACCAAACAGGACCTAAGATAGCATTTAGCACTAACCATTTTTCACAGTCTCACCCACTTTATACATCAACTCCTAAACAAGCATACCTTGATATCTAATCGTTCATTGGAATGAGTATATCCCAGTTCAACAAAGAATAGTGCCATGCAAGGTGAACAAGCATACCTTTATATCTAATCATTTTTCAGTATCACCCACTTTATACATCAACTCCTGAACAAGCATACCTTGATATCTAATCATTCATTGGAATGAGTATATCCCAGTTCGACAAAGAATAGTGCCATGCAAGGTGAACAAGCATACCTTGATATCTAATCGTGCCATGGAAGGTGAACTTTGGCTATTTAAGCAAGCATATATATTTAAAATAGAATCACTCCAAAAAGTCGAGAGAGCATGTACAAATTCAAAGCATAAAAGGAACTAAATTACAATGAAAAATAATACATTAAGCCTGATACTTACACTTGGACGTCCATTCTTGTCATAGTGAAT